TAAGACTTAACACTATAATAGAAGAGAGCTGAGCAAAGGTAGTTTGTGATAGAACTTCACAACTGATCTCTTTTATTTTAAAGAAAATGACAAAATCAGGTGAAATCCTGAGAGAAAATCTGCTGCCATAAAATCATTCCTAAGACTTCTCACAGTTTCTGAAAGTCTTATGAGCAAGTCAGCCTTAACAAATGAGAGCAGCAACAAGGTTTCGGAAACATTAAACCACGAAAATAATCCAGCTCTATTCATGTACATTCATACCTGCTGATGTTGTGGTACTCGGGTGTGTGTAGGGCTCGCTGCAGCTGAGTGCGCAGCCTGAGGCTGTGAGTGTCTTTGGCTGAGTCGGAATAGTTGAGAAGCACAACGACCAACAGGAAAAACATATAGACCAGAAAATTCTGAAAATAAGAGAAAAGAATTCTGTTACTGAGCACCATTTAAAGATGTGATTTAAAGAAAGGAGACTCCAGCATCATCTCTCTCTAACCCACTATATTCTCTTCTTCACTGACCTTCAGCATCGTGTGCAGCATGTGGACCTTGCGGGCCTGGTGTCGGGCCTGAGACAGAGCAAAGCCCTGTGGAGGTCTCACCCTCGGTACCCGCTGGACCACTCTCTCCACCCTGGGGAACTCCACCAGCACATCCTGGTCCTCAGGACGCAGCCGGCGCACACACAGTGCGTAGTAAACTGCTTCACACAGCACCTGTGGGGCACAGGGCAGATAACGCGTTATGCTAGGCAACCAATTTCAAAGTCCAGAATTTTGATGTTGCATTTACTCAACCCAAAGTCAAATGTGTGGTCCAAATTGATCCACTCTAAGGAAAATTGGACAACCTACTATTAACACAATTTAGTTGTTAAGATGGCAATTTAGTGAAAATGAGTGTCTGAGACATTGAAAATATAGAAAAATCTTGTGGGAACAATCAACTTGTCCTTTCTGAACTCATCTCAAACGTTTTAAGGGTCCAAAGTGGTGCAATTATACATTCTCTAACCCTGCTTCAAGTGTGCTTTTGACACTTAATGGTACTGTAACAACATAACATTATCAGCTTCTGAAGGTGGTGTGGTGAATGTATGCCTTTTTAGATTCACAGCAGATATATGAAACAGCCTCAAGGGTCTGAATAAAGCAGCCAAAGTGGCTCTAAAAGCGAATCAATCCCCATAGACGCCCATGTTAAAATCCCCAACATTACTGAAGCAAGAAAAAATGTTTAAAACATCTTCAAATACTCTAAAGTTAAGGACGTGCGTGCTTTGACTAACACATCCAAATAAAGTACTTCTGGATCAAGAAAAAAAACACCAAGACAGCAGTGAGCAAAACACTAAAAATGAGATTTCACAAAGGACTCTTCAAAATAATTGGCTGATGTCATGGTGACTACATCTGTCTTTTATACAGTGTATGAGCTGCTGTCTTCATTTGGGGGCACTGTATCTTGTCACTTCACTTTAATTCAATTGATATTGGCCCAAATGACAACAGGAGGTTTATATTGTAAGTTAAAGAACCTACAATAATACAGAGAAAACCCCAACAATCAAACAACTCCAGTGACTTGGCATGCAGTTGGCAACAATGGGAAGAAAAAACAGGAAGAAACCTCTGGAAAAACCAGGGAGAGGCTGTGTAGGGGGGTAAGGGAGCTGAGACAGGACAAAAGACACACTATGAAATCTTTGCAAAACCACGTGTCTTTACCTTAATTGGCTCCAACAGTAGAAATGAGCAGAAGAAACTAGCAAAGCAGGAGATTAACCACATCATGGCAACATTCTGACTGAACCCATAGCCGGCCCAAACTGAAACACCATTGGCCAGAGCGATTCCTGCCCAGCTGCCCCACATGGCAGCACGTCCACACCAAGGTGGAAACCGTCTTGGACGACACACATCTGTTACAACTGTGAAAAGAAGAATAAGGTGCCAAAGACAAAACAAATACAAATCATCAGCCACTGAAAAC